ATTTTTTTCTTTACAAGAAGTTTTGGACAATTTCATTTTTGTGCATCTTGGTATGATTTTATTTAAATGTCTTTGCAAAAGGTTCATTTTTCTTGGAAATGTGGTATTACAAGTTGAACTAAATTCAGAAATTTTAAATCTTAAAAATAAAATATGCTTGAAACTATTGTTTGAAGCAAGGTACAATCCCCCTATGATGAATGCTATCACTATGTATATATAAAATGTACCAATAAAAAAAATTCAAGGGAAAAAATAAATAAAATAAAATGTTAATGAAATGGAAATTTTTCAATACAAAATTCATGAATGTTAAAAAAAAAAACCTATATCTACTTGAAGATTCTTACATTCATAATGACCCCAAACAACCTATGTATCCATCCTCTGGTTAAAGAAGCGATTTTGGGTAACCAACAAAAATGGCCGGTTCCTGCGGTAAACACTCTCACACTACATGGAATCAGGGTTGTGCAAGTACAACAACTAGAGCAGGTGAACACAGTGTCAAAGGGGTGCCATGCTCTGAGGTTATCATCTCAAAATTCATATTGTTTAGTACTGAAATTAAACTGGTTTTCCAAGAACACTGGGTGACTGCTGTATCACTGAGTAACACCACCAGCCTTGAAATTCTTAATGATTTTTTTTTTTTGATTGTCTACTTTGTAAGTGAAGCCAAATGTGACAGGTATGCACTCTAGGTGTGGACAGTGCATTACCCTGGGAGATTACTTGTCCTCCATGAGTTGGGGCAGTTGGGCCTTTGAAAGGGAAACAGAGGGCTCGACTTCCTCAGCCCCAGCCAGTGGTTGAGGGGAGAGGCAATCCCATGGTGGTCATGTGAGCATGCTGAGTCATGGAGCCTGAAGGGGAGACAACAGTGAGTAAATAACATGACCATGGCAGGCTGAGAGGTACACTGCAAAAGGAGGTGAAAGCACTAGACTGTAGTGCCTGGGATGACACTTTTCTTCTGATTTTTGAGCAGAGTCTGTCATTTTCATTTTGTGCTAGGCCTGCAAATTGTATAGCCATTAGTTTGACAAGCTACCAGCTAATAATAAAAAGGAACACACTAATGACACACCCCGCAAACATATCTCACAAACATACTAGGTAAAATAAGCCAGATATTAGACATTATGTGTTGCACGATCCCTTTTATATAAAATTTCTAGAAAAGGTAAGACAATGGAAGTCAGAGAGCAAATCAAATGTTATCCAGAGATGAGAGTGAGAAGACAGATAGGGTGCAAACAGGCCCAAGGGAACTTCTAGTACTCTAGCACTAAAAGGTAGTTTGAATGTATAAATACACTAAGCTCACTTTGGGACTGCGTTGGCCCGCCAGGACCAGATCAATGGAGGCCATATATTTTGATAAAAGGGAAAACAAATTTCTTCAAAGATCCAAAGAGATGGCAGGGCCCATGTGCCTCAAATCTTCATCTGGCCTTGAACAGGTAGATAAGAGTCTTTCACAGTCAGGAACAGAGGGGAGGGGAGCACAGAGAGATGGTGCACATCTCCATACTTGCTTTATTATTTCTCACTCATTCTTTTGCTTGAGTAAAGGAAGCTGGGCTCAGGCCTCCCAGGCCAGCATCTGCATATTCTGTCCCTGCTTTAGTCTGAGGAGAGGAGGGCAGGTTGGTTATGTGCTCAGCAGGAGGAAATTTGAAAAAGTTGCCTGCATCTAAAAAAACTTCTAAAATTTTATTTCATACTACCAGTTACAACATATCTATGTATATACAACATATCTATGTATAAAGAAATTTTATAGCATACAAATTACAACTTAATAAAGTTGTTTTGAAATAGTAACTCAGGAGTCTTCATCCCTCCACTCCACTATCCAGTCACCCACCTTGCCTGGGCCGGCAGGCAGAGACTGCGCTAGAGCCAAGGGGGCGGGTCACTCAAGGACTTGGCAAGGGATTCCTCGGGGTGGGCAGGGGGTGGCTGGAAAGATGCAAGAAGCCCTGGGTATGACAGACAGCTCTTCATTCAGCTGTGCACACTCTTCTGGGGGCCTAGATTTAGGGGGTAAACACAACAGCAGCTGCTTGCCAGTATCAAACCTTATAGAGAGTGAGAAATTATATGTTATTTATATCAGGACATTGGGAGGCGTCTGGTGCTGGGGTCTACACTCTTCCCCTGGTTTCTTTTCCACAGCCTAGACCATCATGTGGCCGTCTTGGGCTTTATCTTCCTTACACACCACCACTAGCCACAGCACTGAGAGCACAAGCAAACTTTCTACTGAGGATGGGACAGTGCAGGTACTTGGGAAGCACACAGTATTGGAATTTTTTAAAGAAATCCAGGAAGAATAAAAGCCTACTGACCAATGCTGCCACTTCTGTGTGATTAGGGTAAGAATCCAGAACAGTGCTATTGTGATGGACAGCATCCTAAGAAGAACGCCTACACGCTGGCGGGCATGTTCTGGGTTCCTTTCCACTTAACTCTGGCGCCACCTGTGACTTGATCCTTGTCAGGATACAGCAGCAGAAGAAAAAGCGTATTTTATACATGTGATTAAGGCTCCAAAACACTCTGTTCTGTGTTAAGCAAAAGGAGATTATGGGTGTGCTGAGACAACAGCAATTGAGACTGGGTGAGGTGATGCAGGCCTGTAATTCCAGATCTTGGGAGGCTGTAAACAGGCTATCACTATGGGTCCAATGTAGTAGTGAGACCCTGAACATGCTGCTCTAAAAAATTGCTAAAAAAAAAAAAAAAAAGCTCATTTGGGGCTGGGAAGATAGCTCAGTAGAGTAAGTGCTAGCTTGGCAAGTGCAAGGGCCTGCGTTCAATCCCCTGTTCCATCAAAAAAAAGGGCGGGGGGAGATTATGGCTGGGCTTCAGTAAGCAAGAGCCCTCCTAAAGTCAGAGATCTTCCTGCTGGCTTGGTCAAGGCACCATGTTGAGGAAGCCCATGAGGCCAAGGGCCTGGGAGCTTGTCAGGCCCTGCGGGCCGCTGTAGCCCAGCTCTAGTAGGTTGCTGATCCTTCTGCCACCTGGCTGCAAGGAAGAGGAATGGGCAACCTGAATGAGCTTGGCAGCGGGCTCTCCTTCAGCTGAGAAGGCAGCCCAGCTGCTGCCTGGACAGCAGATCCACGGTCTGGTGACCGTAACAATTTAATGGGGGAATGAGACTCAGTTTTATGTCAACTTTATCCCATAGACATTAGAATACTAGGTAGTTGCCATAGCTTCAAGATGGGAAGGTATGTGAAAGAGCCTGGAGGAATACCTGGTGTGCAGTAGGTAACCAATAAATGTTCATTTACCCACGCGAAGACTCTTCCTAACCTAAACTTCAAAAGCACACCCTAACAGAGGCCTTCTAGAGACAACAGATCCTGGAGCAGGCGGACTCCCAGGAGGCCAGTCCGGGACGCATCACAAGCCCGTGGCTTTCTGACACTCCTACCATGCAGCTTCACGTGGACACCTTGTCTGCACCATTGCATGGACCTTTCCCATGTCGGAGAACTCAATATACTGACCATCTCTGCATCAGAGGACAAGAAGTGACCCCAGGCTGTATGTGACTGCTAAAATTTATGACCAAAAAGGTTTCTAAGTCCTCTTCGCCTCAACTGATGGTCAGAGAAGACTGCTTCTAATTCTAATGAGGAACCACCCGGGGGCGGGCAGCTATCAATCACATCAGATCAAATTCATTCTCCAAAGAGATCTTTTCTGGCCCAGTCACTTTTTTTCCCTTCTCTGTTCTGGGAATTAAACCCCAGCAAGGCAAGTGCTCAACCACTGAGCTAGATCCCTAGCCTCTTTTAGTATTTTCATTTTCAGACAAGGTTTTATAAGTTGCCCAGGCTGCTCTCAAACTTGTGATCTTCCTCCTCCAGTCTCCTGAGCACCTAGAATTATAAGTTTACATTGCTACACCCAGACAATGACACTTTTATAATGAACCCTTTCTGTGGTCCTCTACAGAGGCAGCCTTCGTGGTTACGGTGGCTTCTTTGAGAGTGTGTTGGGACAGCAGGCCACATGTCAGATGCTTTTGCTCAGTGATTTCTATTTTGCCCTCTATGCTCCCAGCCCTGAGCTGCGGGTGAGTACTTGGGGTTCGATGAGACGTATCCTGCCACGCACCCCTTGAATCATCACAGTGATCTTCCTTTTCCCACAGTGCATCTCCCTGCTTCTCCAACATCTCGTCTGCTTTCACTTCCCCACTAAACCCAAACAACTCTTTCTTGGGTCTCAAGGTCCAGGATAAACAGCACTGCCTCCTTAGGTTTTTCCAATCTGTGTTTCCCTAGCAGGTTTTCCTCATTTTTGAGATAGTTTCCAATGTGCTGTATTGTAGATATTTGATCAGGAGCTTTCCAGAGACAGGGAACATGACCTACTTATCTTTGCAGCCAACTGATTTATCCTGAGAGCTGGCAAAGTGAAGATACTCAACAAATGGCATCTGAATTAAGTGTAATTAAATTGCACCCATTCTTCTCAGTACAGTTTTATGAAACAGATACTCCCTGAGGAAGCTACACATTTTGGTAAATACTGGAGATGGATTTTCTCAAAGCAGTTATCCAAACAAAGATGAAAATTTACTTCAAAACTTTCCCTATGGTATTCTTAAATGTGAAAATATACAGTGGTTGGTCACTGTGCTTCATCTCATTCGGGTGTGGTGCCCACCGAGTGGAAATTCATTGAAAATACCTTGAGAGATTGAGACAGTGTGGGGAGGCTGTCTTAGTTACCTTCCTGATGTTGGGACAAAATATCTCATGTCTGTAGTTAAAGGAGGACAAGTTTAACTCTGTTGGAGGGGTTCGAGTCCATAGCTGGCTAGTTCCAAGGCAGGCAGCATGGCAGAGGGGCACAGTGAATGAGAAACAATACACAGTGGGTCAAGCAGGTAGTGACAGTATTTCCTGCTTATTCCAGCCAGGCTGCAGGCCTACTGGTTGGTGACACCTACACCCAGGGCGGGCCTTCCCTCTTCAGCAAGTCCTTCATCCACACCCAGAACTACCCTAAACCAACCAATAGGCTAACCCAGTGTCACACACCCAAGATCCAGTCACTCCCAAAAGCCCACTAGAAGTATATAAAGCTTTGGAGGGACACCTAGATATGAGCCATAACAGAGCTTATGCAGAGTGAACAATAGGGAAACTGAGTCGCACTTTCAGATAGAGACTAATTTTCTGTTGAGTTAGAAAGTGGATGGGTGATTGGTCAGGAAGACTGCACGGGTCCGGGCCAGAATACTGGAGCGGAGGATGGATTGCCAAGGCCCAGCCACCTTTAGCCTTCAGGAGCCCAGGAAAACCTAAGTGTTTTCATCCAAGACACTGGTCAACTGGCAAAGGGTATACTTAGGAAACTTAAAACTTCTCATGTTCGGAGAGGAAAGAGGAAAAAAGGGCTCTGAAAATAGAGCCTTGTTCATTGCCGTGGCCTTGCCTTAATGACATTGAGAAAGAAGTACCCAAGGGGTAAAACAAAACTTGCTGACAGTTAAAAGTGGAACCAAGGCCACAGAGGTGACCAGAGTAGCTCAAATAATTTGCTTAATTCAAGTGTTTGAAATTATCTAGAATCACATTTAGAAGGACACACACTAGGAATTCACTCATGTATCATCATGAAAATGCTCACAGTGTCTCCCAGCTCTTCCTGCCAGCACAGAACCACCCCGCACAGTGTGCAGATAAATTTCCTTGAAGGCAAACAGGGGCCTCCTCACCTTGAGAATCAGCTGGTGATTTGTTAGTATACATTTAATGTTCCATAGTTGTAATTTACCAATCACCAGCTTCCCCCATTCCAGCTTTGATTCTTCATATTTATATTCATCAACTGCATCTGCCTTTTTATGTAAAACTCATTGACTTTGCCAGTGAACCATGAATAACTGTAACCTGGGCTCATTTTCAGTCTTAGGGGAGGCATGATTCATTCCTGGATAGAAAGGAAGC